TCTAAGGACGCCTGGTCCAGTACTCCGAAGGATACAAGCCTGTCCGGGTCAGCAAGTAGCGACTGCTCGGTCGTTCTATTAACTGCAAAACAAAACAGGTCGTTACTACGGATCGGGCGAGCAGATAATGAACTCAGCGAGAAAACCTACTTGGATCTTGAAAACGGCAATAGCCGTTGTAAAAGAAAAAGAAGAACTTTGACTCGTAGGCTCCCGCATTGCTGGGGTAGCTGTGTATCCCCGCGGCAATGGTAGGTCGCCGAGACAGGTAGTACGAGTCCTTGTCCCTACTCTTCTTAAGGTAGTAGGCAACACCGAGCTCCACCGCCGTTGGCTCTCCCAAGCTGCTCTCGCAGCACGCGATGTACATCGCGACAGCGATGACATACGCGTTTGGCATCAGTTGCATCGGTGCGATCTCGAAATGATCCAGGACCGACCTGATGAAAGGATGGAAGGGAATCCTCCCTCCACCCTTGAAGATCTCCTCTGAGATCGCGGCGAGGCCATTGTCCGGGCGCCGTGACGATCTGGTGTGGTTGAGGAACACCTCTGCGCGAATATCGTACTGCGTCTTTATTCTATCAAATTCCTCGGAAGTAAGAACCGAGTAGACATCGAGGGCTGCGTCCTCGGGGACTTCCCGCGAGGACGAGCTGGCTCCTTCCTCGGGTCTGGATGTTGACGGTTCCATTCCAGTCTGCAACATCGACAGACACGGTCATTAGTGCCTTCGTGTTCGTCCCATGTAATGACAGAGGACACCTAAAAATCTACAAATGACTCGAGCCGCCATCCACGACTCGAATCCAAGGGCGGCGTCGCGTCTCCGGTGAAACGCCGAGAGACCCAACGCCACTGTTCAACCAAACCAGTGCAAAAATAATAATAATATATATATATATAATAAAGGAAAAGAAAAACCTTACTCTCTGAGATGCGAAGCTGATGCCGAAACACGTTTCGATTGCCTGAAAGACGCCGATCGGAAGAGAGCTGTTCCTGGTGTGTAAAGATTTTTCACTTGAAGCGAAAGAAATTTCGGTACCTCATCAGAAAAATGCAAGTTTTTATATGAGGGTTGCGAATCGACGGTTACCACCCCTTGGAACTGAAACGACAGCCCACTCTCTCTCCCCGCATTAAATGCTCCCCACGTCGCATTAAATGACGTGATAATGGTCGTCGTTTCGGTTACGCTGCACCACTAACGCTGTCAAATGGTGCCAGCATAGCACGCGAGGCATTTAATGTGTCTGACAAAAGCTTTAACGCGCGCAGATCGCCTGACAGCGTAAAACCAAGTTCATTGAATCTGCAGAGGAGCGTCCCTCAGATCCAGGTTGCAAAGGTGAAGATTGTTAGGTCGCTCTGGCAAGGAACAGCGCGAGATCGTGTTCGCCAGAGTTCTGTGACGAGCTCATCCCGTTCAGGTCGGAGCGAGCAAAAACTCCAGCGTAACTTAGTTTCCAAGGTCCGATCCTCGAACCTTAAAAACTAGGGGGCTTCTGTTATGCCCAAGAAAATAAAGGGCTGACGTGGGAAAGTCACGTGAAGGGTGACCTACTCCCGTCAGAGCAGCACGCACACGTCTGACCTGTCAAGTGATATGGAGCCCACACGCGTCCTTTTTTCTGCAACAAGTCGTGCGATGTCAGCTTGGGAAAAGGGAAATGGGACGTAAAGCCGAATTACATCCTGACAATCACACCAAACCATGGATTTAGTGATGATTATACGCTTCAGTCCAGTATAAAATGAGGAGGACCCCTTCATTAAGGGGATTCGGCCATTTATCATACAGAGAAAGAAATCTCTCTCTCTTGTAAACTTTTCTTTGACTTTTTCGTCTTATGTAAGTTAGCTCGCGACCGCGACCTGACACACACTAATATCAATACAAATCAGTGGACGTAGGACTTGCTACCTTAGCATCCGAACCACTTAAAAACTCCCTTTACATTTATTTCGCTTTTATATATTTCATTTTTGCGTGTATTGAACGGCCAATCAACGTTATACACGTGAGAATTCATTGGTGCTTAAACAGAGCATCAACAGAATGGAATATAAATTCTATTTGGTTATCCTTATATAGATATAAATATCATTGATTGAATTTCCATGACTAGAGAATATAAACAGACAAAATATGAACAAACAACTGTTCATTAAAGCACACATTTATTCATGATGTTTAAAACAACTTTTCGGATACAGTGGAATACTTATTTATTTAATATAAAAGTTAAAATAAACATCAAAATTATATACTATAATCGGTTGTTGATGTGTTTGTAGTTGTAATGGTTGTGGTTGTGGAGACTTCAATTGTTCGGCCATTGTGTTGTATTGGTGGGACGTGTTTTCCAATAACACCAGTTACAGTGGGATGAGTATTCATACTTATTGCAACTGTTTGGTAATTAATATCATAATAAATATAGTCATATTTAATTTTTAGTTTCTTATAGTTATCAATTTTATCATTGTTCGACATTAACTAATTACAATTATAGATTCAAATTTATGTTAGAAAGCTGTGATTTTTCAAACATAAATTATACAGCAACCTTTCAAAGCGATTGAACATGAGAATTACAGTAAAATGCTGAAGTACAATCTAAATAGATTTGCATCGTTCCTCTTACAATCAAACAAATGGTTCGGTTGCTTGCTACAATTCTACAAGACAATGAATAATGGTTCAACATCAGGACTCTTATAATGCTATAGTAAAATCTAAATAGAGTTACATCTTTCCTCGTACAATAAAACAATATGGTTCGGCTACTGCCAACAATTCTGTAGTACAATTGACAAAAACTTGGTTATCAAAATAGTTCGGCAAAGACATTAGAAAACAACACCAAAACCACTGATCCACATAATTTGCCACATGGATTTGTTAAGTACAGTAGTAGACAAATAAATGGTTTGGAATGGTCTGCCTATGTCTTTTTATAATTGAATAAAAAAAATTATTGGTTTGGCAGATGGATTTGGTAATTTTGTAGCAGAATTTATGGTTTATTATCTGGACTAAAACAATCAAATAGTGAAAACCATACAATAACTTACATAACCTTTTAACAGAAACTATATAACAAACATGATAAACGATTGAAAAGTAGTATAACAACACAGTAGTCAATAAATTGCAACAACACCTAAAATTTTTACATTTCTAACAAAATATATATAGCAATAATAAACCAAAATTACAGAGGCGTAGGCAACTAAATGCATTACCTTCGATAGCACGTAATTCACAACGACGACAAATGTTATGATTAGACTAAAAGTATATACTTGCATTAAAACAAAATAAAAAGTTTAACAATATTGGCCAAACCAAAAGAAAACAATTACAAATAACACCTAAAAGTTGACTACCTCTTTTTTTTCAGATAAATCATGTAATACACTGTTGATACATCCACATACCTATAGGATTCAAAGTAACGAATCATTTAAGTGATACAACACATCTCTTTAAATTCACGAAATTCAACAATACCCCTAATTAATACATTAATGTTCACATTTATTCATGCATATTAATTATAATAAATATTATATATATACCCTTTCACGTTGTACCCTCCACATTCAATATATTAATTATAATGAATATATATATATTATATATTATAATATATTATATATATATCTTACTCTTTTACGTTTGATACCTGCACATTCAATTAGACAAAAACAATGAAAGCTAAAGTGTAATATACAACATTATCATGAATGTGAAAAGTTTTCTTGATCTAATATATAATAAAAAAAACATTAACATTCATAAAAGATTAAATGTATTTGTTATTAATAATATAAAATAGTATAAACCAAAAACATGTAAACACTTGTAATAATTATAGTTTAAACCAATAACATGCTAACACTTCTTACAGTAATTATAAAGTCATATGTGGTGGTTAATAACAATGCTTTAAGATTATCATAAATGTGAAGAGTTTCTCTTGATCTAATATAATAATAATAAAATATTTAACATCTACAAAACATTGAATGTATCTCTTATTAGTAATACAATATAACCTAAACCAATAAGAACGTAGATACTTATAATAATTATAGTTTAAACCAATAACATTGTGATACTTGTAATAATTATAGAGTTATATGTAGTGTTCCAATTGTATATACTTCGTGATTATATATATATAGCAAAATTATTTTTACCTACGTATTAGATGACATCAAGTACGGTATTTTAATAAGGAATAATACTTTGCGTACTAACGGATTTTACTAACCAGTGTACTAACCTTTGTTAAAATCACATATAATACCTATATTATACGTATAATATCCATACTATATTTTAATTAATATATAAATTAATACCCATTCGTTAGTACCCATAGCATCACTCTTTAATAGGTCACTTCAACCGTTTTTCCCTTCTCTGGAAATAATAACGCCATAATAATTGAGGGTAAACTTTATCGTGTAATTATTATTAATGCCTACAGAGGTAAATTCTAATTCTAGACTTTAAAGGTCGGGCAATACACGTGTCAGGAGATTACTTACCTATCTTAATTTAATATGTAATTACTTTTAGGTAAGTGGTTTGACTGAACATGCAATAAATGAATAGCTTAAATAAAACCCCAGATCAATGTCTATTTTCATAAAAACCCAAACGAGAATCTCATTAAAGGACCAAGAAAATGATGTTGTTTTGGTACGACTTCGTGGTTTTTATGAATACCAATTTAATATCAAATCCAACTTCAGTTTCGCAAAATCTCCGTAAAATTCAGACCGCGTCAGCACCTGAAGTTCCTCGCGGACAACGTCTCTGTCCTTGTCTTTGAACCAGTTGTCCAACTACTCTGCTTCCATTTCTAATTTTCTATGTTTTCGTTGATTTTTTTATTCATTTATTAAATCATAATCAAACAAAATACAATTTGTCATCAATTTTTTTAATTGTTATTTGCTCATGCAACTCCCTTCCCACTGTCACTCCACTTGCTATAATCGCTTTTTAAAACAAGATAATAATTCAACATTTGACTTCTTAATTTTCGTCTATATTCACTGAAACAATGAAATTCAGATCTTTGAGCCAATACCCATTTGAGATCAGGCCCTGAATTTTGAGCAATAATGGCAAAAATCTTCGCTTTGGCTTTGACGGTGTGGGTGTTACTGCGTTTCGGGTTTGTTATCGGGTCGCATAAACGAGAGGCTCCATACAGGATCCACACGCTGTTCTCGGTGGAATGTCAGAATTACTTTGATTGGCAGACGGTAGGGCTAATGCACAGCTTCAAGAAGTCAGGTCAACCCGGACCCATAACCCGACTTCTCAGTTGTACGGACAAGGAGAAGAAGAATTACAAAGGGATGCATTTGGCTCCTACTCTTGAAGTGCCTTCTATGAGTACACACCCCAAAACTGGTGACTGGTACTTTCTCTGTTTCGTTAGCTCTTTTGGTTCTGGTTTTGATTGTGGTTTTGATCAGAATTTGAGCTTTTCCTTTTCGGTTTCGTTTGTTTGTTGTTGTATGTGTTGAATCTCTAATGTTTTTCAGATGTTCTTTCAATGGATTCATTTCTTTGAATTTGGTGTTAATCATATGCATTCTTTGCTAAAGGATGTGTTTCTGTTATTCATGTTAACTTGATTAGCTAATTTGCTGCACTAATCTTAGAGCTTTCTTTATCTTTTTCCTCTGAAGATAAAAAAATGAAGGGTTTAAGATCCGGGAGTTTCCTTTGCCAGGAGGAAAGAAAGCTGATAAAGCTTTTATGTTTTTTTCTGCAGGTACCCTGCTATTAACAAACCTGTTGGACTCGTCCACTGGCTCAAATATAGTAAGGATGCAGAGAATGTTGATTGGGTTGTAATTCTGGATGCAGACATGATAATACGGGGTCCAATTATACCCTGGGAACTTGGTGCAGAGAAAGGCAAACCAGTTGCAGCATATTACGGGTATCTACATTCTTATGAAATTTAACTTATTCAGTATCACGTTTGAGTATTTCCTCTTGAAAACCAAATTTAACGATGTTTACTTGTAAGATGCTTTGGTCTGGCTAAACTACTAATCGGATACAACAAGGGGTGACCAGACAGGAGTCTTTTGAATCCCTCTGTGAACTTTTTTACGGTAACTTTTGCACTTGATATGTAAGTAAAAACTATGTTAAGGGATACAGTGCATTTACCCTTTGGTGAAGCACTGTTTCAAACACTGTCTTATGAGACTTGAGAACTTAATATATTTTTCTTCTCACTTTTTGGATCATGTTCCCTTATGAAGCTTATTAGGACTTGCTGTTTGTGCCATATTAGCATTAAATAACTGTATCTAGTTTTCACATTTTTTTTCTTGTCCCTTGTGATGATTGTGCCTGTCAGTATGCATTAATACAATGAAGTGCTTTTTCAGGTACTTGATTGGATGTGATAATATTCTGGCTAAGTTGCACACACAGCACCCGGAGTTCTGTGACAAAGTTGGTGGACTTTTGGTGATGCACATTGATGATCTTCGAGCATTGGCACCCTTGTGGCTTTCAAAGACAGAAGAAGTGCGTGACGACAGAGCTCACTGGGCAACCAATATAACGGGTGACATCTATGGACAAGGGTGGATAAGTGAAATGTATGGTTACTCATTTGGTGCAGCAGAAGTAAGTTGGTTTGTCTGTTCTTTCTAGCAAGTAAAACACTTTTTTTTTTCTTTTTTTTTTTCCAATTCCTTTTTTGTTTCTCGGTTCATTTTAATTATGCTTTTTCCTTTTTCAGGTCGGACTTCGGCACAAGATAAATGATAACTTGATGATTTATCCTGGCTATACTCCACAAGAGGGTATTGAGCCTATTCTTCTTCACTATGGTTTGCCATTTACAGTGGGAAATTGGTCTTTTAGTAAATTAGAGCACCATGATGATGATATTGTCTATGACTGCGGTCGACTCTTTCCTGAACCTCCTTATCCTAGAGAGGTATATGAACCTAGAGAGAAATAATAGCATTTATTATCAACAAAAATTGATCCCAAAATTGCTTTGGTCTTTTTACTAATATATGGAGATTAATGTAAATGACAAATCTCATTCAAGATAATCAGCATCAGTAATTGAAGCTTAAGATTCTTTCTTTGTGCAGGTAAGGGCTATGGAATCTAATCCAAATAAAAGAAGAGCGTTGTTTTTAAATTTAGAGTGTATCAACACCCTAAATGAGGGTCTTCTGCTGCAACATGCAGCTGATGGATGCTCTAAGCCAATGTGGTCAAAATACTTGAGCTTTTTAAAAAGCAAAACTTTTGCTGAACTAACCCGACCTAAACTTCTGACTCCTAATAGTAGAAAAAATCAGGCAGCTGAACTGCTAGATGAACCTGGGAGACCTCATCCAAAAATTCACACCATATTTTCCACGGAATGTACCCCCTACTTTGATTGGCAGACTGTTGGGCTTGTTCACAGTTTTCACCAAAGTGGCCAGCCTGGAAATATCACACGACTTCTCAGCTGTACAGATGAAGACCTAAAGGAATACAAAGGCCATGATCTTGCTCCCACTCATTATGTCCCTTCCATGAGCCGCCATCCACTTACAGGGGATTGGTAATTCACTTTCCTTCTTTTTGCTTCTATTAGAGTGTTCTTAGTCTTCTTAGGTTTGTCTTAAACCCTGAAACTAGGCCACCTACTTCACATCAAGGATGTTGAGTCTGGAAAGCAGCCACTTATTATGCACATGTTCAAGATTAGTACTATATGCTGAGTAACATTTAGAATTCAGCAATACCAGCATTAAAATTGGCAGGATTTATGTGAATAGATAATAACATTTTTTCTCAATGGTCATGCTAGTTTGTACAAAGAAGACAATAAGGAAGGTTGAGAGAAGTGAATGTCATTACTTGTGAAACAGTATGCCAAAAACTAATCTTTTTTCTCCTTATCAGGTATCCAGCGATTAATAAACCTGCTGCGGTCCTTCACTGGCTTAATCATGCAAATGTTGATGCAGAGTTTATAGTTATTCTAGATGCTGACATGATTATGAGAGGTCCAATTACTCCATGGGAGTTCAAAGCAGCACATGGCCGACCAGTGTCGACACCCTATGAGTAAGAATATATATGCATTTGCACCCAGTACCCCTTCCCTGCTCTCATTCTGTTTATATATTTGTTGTGTACAAAATTAATTTACTCATATCTATACATTTTTTTATTTGTTTATGCATGTTAGCTACCTTATTGGTTGTGACAATGAGCTTGCGGAACTCCATACACGCCATCCTGATGCTTGTGACAAGGTTGGAGGTGTAATTATTATGCATATAGATGATCTCAGGAAATTTGCTATGTTATGGCTGCTTAAAACTGAGGAGGTTCGTGCAGACAAAGATCATTATGCCAAAAATATCACTGGAGATATATATGAATCTGGATGGATTAGTGAGATGTATGGTTATTCATTTGGAGCTGCAGAGGTATTTTATTCTAGCACTTCTAGATGGTTATCTTTAAGCTTTATGGAGAAGATGCCAAAATTTGTTTGAGAAATTCTGTTGATAGTATTATTCTATGAAGTGATTGTGATAAACTGAATCGCTTACATGTTCAGCATTCATATATTAATTCTTTTGTCCTCTATAATTTGGTCTTGAGATGATATGAACTCCTTCATCTAAAGTTAATATCCCTGTTGTTTTAGTTTTCATAATGTGTTTCGTTTCTATTTGAGATAATGTTTCTTTGTCATGTTTTTCCTTATGCAGTTGGAGCTGCGGCATCTCATAAGCAGGGAGATATTGATATACCCAGGATATATTCCTGAACCTGGTGTCAACTACAGAGTTTTCCACTATGGGTTGGAATTTGGAGTTGGTAATTGGAGCTTTGACAAGGCAAACTGGAGATCTGTTGATGTGGTCAACAATTGTTGGGCTCAGTTCCCAGACCCACCTGAACCATCAACACTTGATCAGACTGATGAGAAACTCCTGCAACGAGACCTGCTTAGTATAGAATGTGGAAAGAAACTTAATGAAGCACTGCGGTTGCATCATATAAGGAGGAACTGCCCTGATCCCAGTTCCTTTGTTAAATCGAATTCTGATACGACAAAGGAAGCTGTAAGTTACAGGAAACTCGGCGGGGTTAATGGAGTTGATACTCAGGAATCAGCTCTGCCTGCCGTAAAAGATGGGCTATTCAGTTCTTTGAGGTTCTGGGCTATTGCTTTATGGGCATTTTGTGGTGTTGGTTTCTTGGTAGTCATGTTTGTGGTATTTTCAGGTCGTAAAGGAAAGGGCACACGAGGTAAAAGTTACAGAAACAAGAGAAGAACTTATTTGGGAATGTCAGACATGAATGGACGTGATAGACTTCTTCGTGGTGACCTATCTTTATAACAAAAATCCTACAGGAAAATTGCCATATTTTATAGTGTCGAACGTTCCAGCACACAAGAGAGAGTCACATGGTCAAGTTTTAATGAAATAGTTTTGGAAAACTTTCCTCTTGCAGTGAAGGTAGCCGATATTTCCATGATGGTATAACAGATGATTTGAGTTCATTGCCTGGGAATGCAATTGTTGTTCCAGCAAAATTTGACTTCCAAGCTTCTGCTGCCAGACCGCTTCATATTTTCTCACACTTGGTCAAATACAGTTTTGTGAAGGTATAATGTATGTTTTATATCCAATTTTAGCTCTAAGTTACTAAATTGTGGGGGAGGGCCAATGTATTAACCCAGTATAGCTGTGTAGCTGAAGTTGAAGAAACAATAATAGCATTGCGAAAAGAAAGTTCCTTTTGTACTGTAACTATAAACAGTTACTACATGTTATTATTCTTCAAACAGCGTAATAGAAGAAGAAACAATAAAAGAAAGAAACCTTTCACTTGTTCTTTTGAATCATCAAAATGAAACTTTTATGTGCGAGGTTGAATGTATCGATATCCATCAGGTGTATGATGTGAGGATTGTTTATTATTTCATGCAATGCCTTAGGCAGGGTGGCAGCGGTTATTAACAATAATTTTAAGTATAACTTTTGCCTTTTATTTTCATTTACACCACCAACCAGAACCAGACTTTTTAAGTTCAGATTCTGATGGCTTTTGGTTATTTAAATTGGCCAATCTGGGTACAAGAGGTTGTGCTTCATTCTTATTTTTGAGCTGAATTTTAATTGTGTTTCTTCTTTTGCTCTCCTTTTTAAGCTAGTTTTACTTCCCTCACATGTTTGGCTTAAATTTATTAGAAACACGCCCAGTTTCATTAATCAACAATAAAATTGATTAATTTGCTGAACACTTTCATTAATGTTCTTCATAATTTGGAAAATTAACAAAATTAAGATGGAAAACATGTACAAAAATAAAATGAAAAATTTAAGTTCCGTTGCCGGGACTTGAACCCGGGTCTCTCGGGTGAGAGCCGAGTATCCTAACCACCTAGACTACAACGGAAGTTGTTGCAATGTTTTAGTTTTACAATTATTTATTTTATTAAAATAATTGGAGTTAGATGATCTCTCTTCTATATGAAAAATCTTTCAAATTACTGTGATCAAACAAAAACTAGAATTAAATGGAGGCGGGCTCTTACTTTAACTTTCCATTTTTTTTTTCTTTGTTCAGTTATTAAGCCAGGAAATCTTTTATGTACTTTTTCTCTTTGATCTGTGTTCCCCTAATTAATTTTACAGCCAATAAAAGAAAACTTCTATACAATAATATTAATGATATGAAAAACTTTTTCTTTTTAATGTTATGATTATCAAATTATGTGGTATTGAGTAGTTGATAATCTTATTTTCTTTTCTAAAAGAAGTTAGATTAATGGATCCCACAAAATTATAAGTTGGAAATAAACTTAAGTTTACCTCTATACTAAATTTTTTCTAGATATCAATTGCTGCAACTACATGGTTTAGTATACTGGGTGTCTTATTACAACAATCATTAGTACTTATACCACAAACATTAAACCTTAAATCTCACCAAAAATGTTGAATTCAGTCCTTGAAGAAATCCCTAATCTTAGAGTATCAACATGTCAAAGCCTACATTCTGTTACACACCATTAGTCTTTTGTTAATGATGTTGCAATTGCAACAACTGGTTGTTCAGCTTGCTAAAATCTCACCTCACCTGCTGCTTTCCTTCAAAACTACTAATGGTCAATCGCCATCTCTTTCAAATCCAAACTAATCACATCCTTAAACTACTTTTGTTCTTCTTTACCTTACTTTACAATTCCACCAATTACCAACTATTTCCATGGCAGTTGGTCGGAGATTGAGCATGTTTATGCCTTGAGAGCAAGCTTTTGGGCCTTGAAATTTCAAATTTCATGAATAATTGGAAGCATGTAGGCCCCCCAATTGGGCTGAAAAAGATTTCTAAAGTCTTCCCAAAAAAGAAAAAGAAAAAAAAATTAGGAGACCCCACTTGGAAATAATGAAAGAGAAAAAGAGTGCACCAAACTTTTTTCTCATCTGCACTGACTATGGCGTGCTTTTCCCCAAGAGGGACCATACACTTTTTCATTTAAATTTCAAATTTTTAAACCGTTTGGGAAGTGGGAATGAATAAAAATATGTTTTGTAATAACTAGAGAGTTCAAAGTTTGGATCTTTTGTGGTTTGAATACTAGCACCGCAGAGAATATGGGAGAATCAACTTGTCTCATGCAACCATTCTCCTATGTTTCTGGCATTCCTAGTGAAGCCAAAGAGGTAAGTTTTTTAACCAACATTATTGAGTTTTTAGCATTTTTTCTTTGTCTTGCTTTGAGTTTTTGATTATTGGGTTGTAATAATTCATTGTAATGCTTCATGGGTTGGTTCATTTTGGTCCTTCATTTTTGGCTTCTTATTTTTTTTCTTGTTCTTTGTCAGTTTGTAGTGGGTATGGTTTGTGAAAGTGAAGCATTTTGTGTTGCAGGGGAACCCCATCCATGCACTTGGGCAGTCCATTTCATTCGGGAGGTTCGTGTCAGAGTCGTTGTCTTGGGAGAAATGGTCAACGTTTCCTCATAAGAAATATGTTGAAGAGGCTGAGAGATACTCCCGCCCTGGATCAGTTGCAGAGAAGAAAGCTTTCTTTGAAGCTCATTATAAGAAAATTGCTGAAAGAAAAGCGGCAGCTTTGCTTGAGCAAGCTCAAAATGATGCATCAAAGAATGTTTCCGAATCAGAATCTGTAGATGGAGTTAACAATGTCACAACCCAAGATACACGTACGATGCCCTTCAACTCCCAACCAGATGTCAAGGCCAGTGAGTATAATGAAGGCAACAAGGTGGAAGCAGCAGATTTTGTAAATGAAAACAAGATTCTTGTGGAGAAGAATGTGAATGTGGAATCAACACAGCAGATTGGTAATGACAATAACAAGGTTGAAGCATTAAGTCAGCTTGGGGTGGATGATAAAGCAACTCAAATGGGGAAACCTCAGTTGAAGGTAACAATGTTGACTGATATTTTCTTTTTCCGGTTCCAATTTCTTTGCAGTCACCAATTTTTTTTATTTCCTTGTAGCAGAGTTTAGACTCTAAAAAAGATGAAAAGGTTTCAATTAGCAAGAAGAAACCAACACTGTCATCCTCAAAGTCATCAAGTTATGGTGAACCAGCAGCTCTATCTCTTTCCAAGAAGGAAAACAACTTCACTCCAATCAAGAAGAAACCTGCAATAGACTTAGCGGAGAAGAAGAGATCAACTCCAAAATCAACTCATAAGTCTATTTATTTTACTCCTGCCCGAGAAATTAATAGATTAACTTCAACCATTATCCGGAAGATTGATAGTTCAAAAGTTGGCTCCAATGCTAAAGCATCTAAAGATTGCTCAAATCCTCTAAAGACTCCAACTACGGTGCTCACTTCTTTCTTTTCATTGTTCTGCAGTTGCACTCTTTATTTGTATTAAATGATCTCAAATCTTGCCAATGTTTGTCATGCTTACTAAAATAGTTTCATTTTTGTTGTCAGGCATCTGTGAGTGGAGCAGCAAAGCATCCCTTAGCCACTCCTTGGTCAGAAAATAGAAGGTTTCTGGGCCGATTCAGATTATTTAAATAGAGAGAGAGAGAGAGAGAACTTTCTGACGCTATTGATATTCTTATATTGTTGATTCAATATGTATAAATTGCAGGACTGGAACGCCTCATGAGGCCTCTGTGTCTGGGAACAAAACAGTTCGTGCAAGATGGCACTTCCTCCCTACAGAGTAAGAAATTCTGATAAAAGGGAATGTTTCAAAGTAGTTTGTGGTGTTCATGGTGATTTCATAATTTAGTAAACCAAAATTACTTTGCATCTTTATGTGACAGGTGGAAATTGATAAATTCCATCTTCTCTAGGAAACCAACAAAGCTTTGAGTAGAATGTTCTGAACTTATTTGCCCACCATATGAGCCAAAATGTTGCTGATTTGAATATGAAATAATATCTAATAAGCTCAATATGAAGCTTAGGTGACCAAGGATTGTACCCAATTCTTAGCATAGTTTGTATACTTAAGCTCACAAGGCTGCAAGGGATCATTTTAGTTGTGTGACCATAATCTTTCTTAACATTTCATCAGTAAAATTCATAAACAATGGTCCCAGGAGCTGATACAGTGGCATTTGCCACGTAATTTGAAGGGACTTAAAGTCCTGATTATTGTTTTTTTATGCCAGTTGTTCAAAGTTTTTGAGTGCCTGCAGAAACAAATTGCAATCTCCAAATTCATCTACACCTTTTCGTTTTAGGACTGAAGAAAGAGCTGCAAAGAGAAAGGAGGCAAGGCTTTGAACAATTAATGATTTCCACTCTAATTCACTCTGCCATAATATTGTGGTTAATCTTTTGTGCACTTTGTATTTTTCTCTTTCCAGAAGCTAGAAGAGAAATTTAATGCCAGTCAAGCACAAAAAATCCAGCAGCAAGCAACACTTAAGGTTGTATCTTTTTGCCAAGCATATTTTAAATTTGAATAACTTACTTTCATATTTCATTATTGAATTGAGGCATAGTTCATATCAATACATGACAGCCACTGATCCTTCTGTTTGAGCAGGAGAAAGCAGAAACAGAACTCAGAAAACTGCGACAAAGCCTTTGCTTCAAGGCCAGGCCACTGCCAAATTTCTATAAAGAAAGATCAGCATCTAAGAATGAGATTAAAAAGGTACATTCTGTCAAGACATTTTGAGAGCATTCCGCTTCATATATTTCCACCGCATTGACATAAAACTTATCTGTAAAGTATGCCTTCCCTAGTTTTGTCATTCGGCTCAGAAGGTAAATTGATGCAATTTTTCTTCTTTTGATTCTCCTCCTCTCTTACAGGTTCCACTGACACAACCTCAGTCACCGAAGGCAGGAAGAAGTTCCACACCCGGCACAGTCCAGAGCAAACTCTCCCAACCTTCTCAAAAGCCTTCAACCAAGAACATCGACTCCAATGGATTACTGGCAAAGAAAAGTCACAAATCTCATTCTCTCAATTCAAGACCTGCAAGGCTTACTCATGAGAATACATCTCCAAATATTCAGCAAGAGTAAGCAAAACCATTCAAGTATCATGTTCCTAGGGAATCAAATTATTGTTGAGCAATGTCGTGCTGCTGAATGAATAAGTTGAGTTTTCACGACGCATGAGACCATTGGCTACAAATCGTCACAATCATGTTCTGTATGCAGAGTTTTTCCTGTAATTAGTCTTTACTAGCTTCAGCTATTGTAAAAATCCATGCAAAATTGTTGAGCTTATGTTTTTAAGTGCTGAAAGCCACAATTTTTTGTTTAAATTTGAACAGCCCATTTACTTCAATATACAGATGATGGTAAATATGGTAGATTAAACCATCATTATGCGGTTTATGCTACTACTAATAATCAACCTCTATGGCAAATCCAACAAAATATTGATGGGAAATTGTGCGTGTGAGTAAGAGCAAAGAATAAAGAGTAAAAACAAAGCAAAACAAAAAGGAGCAAGAAAACAGAGGGAAAGTAATGAGTTTCACATTCTTTTATGCCATGTAACAGTAAGTGCGAGATAAAAATCAAACAGGTAATTTACAATATATCTACAAAAATACTCACCTTACTGCTCTCTCTTTATATGAATCTGTTTAAGGAGCAAATCGAAAAATGCTTCCTCACGTGCAGAATCCATTGCTAACATCCCATCTTTTAAAATCAGAGATCTTAACATCAGCTCCCATAAGCCAACTCGCAGTCGATGTCATGTGATACACCCAACTATGTATAGAATTTCAAACCCTTGCATCTCTTGTCCACCTCTTTAAGATATAATGGTCGGGTAGAATTTTGATATTTCTATAGTCAAGCACTTTTAATGCATGACTGCACAAAACTCCCATATACTCAAATTTCATACAGCTGCACATAACTGTCTCATCAGACAAGTTATAAATCACTGTATACTCTCGTAGTTGACCATAGAAGCTCACTTTATACTCAAACAATGAGCCACTCCCAGTGCACTGGTTAATGACAATATTCAGACATGCTTCATATTCTTGTTGAAACAGTTCAAATATCTTTGGTGTGTAAACATCCCTTGCATGCTTCAAGAGAATCACATCCCCCATTAGTTTTGGCATTTGTTGGTTCATATCATAATTAGCTTCTAATTCTTTGTAGTGCCAATCATTCACCATTTTCCCAAGTTGCTTGAAAAATAATAGCACATCCGAGTCAGACTTTAGATACTTCCTCAAGTTAGCAGTAAAACATTCACATAGTTGTGCCCTTCTTATATCAGCGCAAAATATATGCCTTCTGTATGCTGTGGCCCACTTCTCTCTATCTTTAAATATCTCATTCAACCACTCATTTTCCCAGAGACCATAAACATCCAGCATAACCTTCCATGCATGGATGAAGTCCTCTTCCTCCTCGTGATCAAAGAAGCAACTACATAAATCATTTTTAAAGCAATCTGAGCTCACAAACATGTGGTGTAGCTGTTTAAGAGCCTTTTGGTACATGTGCCAAACACATATTCGATGAAGTGTTCCAGGCAATGCGAAAGCAATCGCTTCAGCCAGTACTGCATCTTGATCGGTGAGGATTGTTTTTGGCCTTTTCCTAGACATCACCTCTACGAAAGTTTGAAACAACCACTTGAAAGACTCGACAGTGTCATCATACAATATTGCACCACCAAAGATCACCATTTGCTTATGATGGTTCACCCCAATGAAAGGTGAAAATGGTCGACCATCTTTGACAACTTTGTAGGTTGTATCAAAGCAAACCACATCGCCGAAGTCACTATAATCCACTACCATCTTTGAATCAGCCCAAAATATATTAGTTATTTGATCTTCAGCATCAAGTTGCATAACATAGATGAAAGATGGATTTTTCAATTGCTTGCTTCGAAAATATTGCTGTATCCTTTCTACTTCACCCTCTTTCATTTCTCTTGTATGTTTAAAAGAAAGTTTACTTTTGTAATCTATGGGATTATATCCATGCTCGTCTCCAACTGCGTTGTGTGGTAACTCAAAGGTTGATTTTGGCTGTATTGTAAACACATTTTGTACGTTTCCTTCAGCAACTTGGGACACAGCTAACCTCTTTTGTGATCTTAACATGCGCACTCGACATGCAGCGACAAGGTCATGATTGTGCTTTTCTTCAAAATGCGTAACACGATATTTACCATCAGATTGACGAGAAATCACCAATTGTGCCAAACAACCAATTCTGGTTTCCTTTCGAGATCTCTTCACATTCAAATCCCGCTTGTCTTTTTGCCGATAACCTTCCCTAAAGCAAGTAAACCTCCTAGATGCCACAGCACCATCTATTTTGCTCCTATTTACATAATCTTTTCGAACACTAAAACCTACCTGTCCAGCATATGCATTATAAAACTCATATGCATGATCTTCTGAGTCAAACCCCATTCCAAGTTTTGGTTTTCCATCCATCCTAGAACTATTAATTAAGTCAGCTTCAACTGCTTGAGCAAAGGTTAATCTCTTCTGCGAAGGTAACATGTGAGTTGTACTTTGTGTCACAAACTCATGATTGTGTTTTGTTTCAAAATGGGTAACACGGAACCTTCCATTAGGCTGTCGTGCAATAGTCATATGTGCCAAGCAACCTGTCCTTGTTTCCTGCTGAGACTTCCTGACATTCACATTATGCTTCGCTGGCCGATAACCTTGTCTATAACAAGTGTATCTCCTGGACACAACGGCACCATTTATCCTACTTTTATTCACAAAATCTTTCCTGATGCTGAATCCCTCCAACACAGCATATCTACTGTAACATTTGTATGCATGATCTTCTGATTCAAACTCCATGCCAACTTTCGGTATCACAAATGTAACTTCCTCATCTTTTACAAGTATCCCTGCCCCAGATGCAGTCATAGAGGGAACTCTTGGACTTTGAGATTCCTGCTCACCATCAACATCCATCTCACACTTGTTGGAAGAGGAAACTCGTAGAGTCTGACACTCCTCATTATTAATATCCCCCATACTTTTATCAATGGAAAAAACACTTGGGGTCTGACAATCACGCTCACTATCAGTACTTTCACTGCTAGTTTCCACAGTGGAATCCTTTTGGCTTTCCCTCTCCTGCCCCACATCTATGTTCACCCTAAGCAATTTCTGAAGTTCAACTTTTACATCCTCTTCGGGTTGATGACTTGACACATCAGCTTCTCTACAATCCATCAACCTTCATTCCAAGAAGAAAACGGAAGCCATGAGTACCAAGTAAAAAAGTAACCACTGTTCACAATGAGTAACTCTATAGCAACATTTAAGTAAAACAAACAAAAGATAATCTATAACTACTTATTAAAGCAACTGAAAAACTGAAACACGAGTAAAATGCTCAAGTATGAGCTTGAAAATGCTTAATTAAAAAATTATTAAACAAAAAACTGCAATCACTTCTCTTTTCGAGCACAATTCTAAGAAACTAACAGTTCCTTCCAAATTTTACAGCAGATACAACACTAAAATGCCAAACCCCACAAGCTGATCACTACATATCTCGTGTTTCTTAACTTCATATTCAAAATTAAACACTTAATCTTCAACTCCTAAATAATTCTTGAAGTGAACATACCCTCTTCAGCATATGCAATTACAAAGAAATTAAGCAATTCACATAACACTTCTCAACACTGTAAGGACAGAAGAAGAATGGGAAAATTTAAGGTGTTAAGAGGGTGCAAACCTTGTGATGATCAAGCAGAAATCAATGGACAGGATCTTCTGATTTTCAGTTGGGTGAAATGGCGGGAGTGATTATAACACTGTGAAAAGAGGAACCGGATGAACTGTAGAGATTTAGGGCTTTTCTTTTTAGTTCAGTTGCAAAAACGAAGATAGAGTGGAAAGACAGGTGTCAGATTCTGACGTGGGTTGCGTTCGATTAATGCTTGACGTGGCTATTTATCATTGCTTAACTGGACTCTACCACATGTTGCCACTTGGATGGTAGTTTTGGATTTTTCAAAGGTTAAATAAAATAGGGTGATTATTAATTTATTATTCTAAACCCCCGAGGTTTCTCTGATATACTCTAAGCCCTGGGGGTATGGTTGTGGTATTAGGAAAAATCTGTAATAAAGGCTCAAAATGCCCCTTATCCTTTAATTTTGTTATTCAATGTTAAATACACCCATTATTCTTTATAAAAATTAAAAAAATAATAGCACATCCGAGTCAGACTTTAGATACTTCCTCAAGTTAGCAGTAAAACATTCACATAGTTGTGCCCTTCTTATATCAGCGCAAAATATATGCCTTCTGTATGCTGTGGCCCACTTCTCTCTACTTTAATATCTCATTCAACCACTCATTTTCCCAGAGACCATAAACATCCAGCATAACCTTCCATGCATGGATGAAGTCCTCTTCCTCCTCATGATCAAAGAAGCAACTACATAAATCATTTTTAAGCAATCTGAGCTCACAAACATGTGGTGTAGCTGTTTAAGAGCCTTTTGTACATGTGCCAAACACATTTCGATGAAGTGTTCCAGGCAATGCGAAAGCAATCGCTTCAGCCAGTACTGCATCTTGATCGTGAGGATGTTTTTGGCCTTTTCCTAGACTCACCTCTACGAAAGTTTGAAACAACCACTTGAAAGACTCGACAGTGTCATCATACAATATTGCACCACCAAAGATCACCATTTGCTTTTCGTGCAAGATGGCACTTCCTCCCTACAGAGTAAGAAATTCTGATAAAAGGGAATGTTTCAAAGTAGTTTGTGGTGTTCATGGTGATTTCATAATTTAGTAAACCAAAATTACTTAGCATCTTTATGTGACAGGTGGAAATTGATAAATTCCATCTTCTCTAGGAAACCAACAAAGCCTTGAGTAGAATGTTCTGAACTTATTTGCCCACCATATGAGCCAAAATGTTGCTGATTTGAATATGAGATAATATCTAATAAGCTCAATATGAAGCTTAGGTGACCAAGGATTGTACCCAATTCTTAGCATAGTTTGTATACTTAAGCTCATAAGGCTGCAAGGGATCACTTGAGTTGTGTGACCATAATCTTTCTTAACATTTCATCAGTAAAATTCATAAACAATGGTCCCAGGAGCTGATACAGTGGCATTTGCCACTTAATTTGAAGGGACTTAAAGTCCTGATTATTGTTTTTTTATGCCAGTTGTTCAAAGTTTTTGAGTGCCTGCAGAAACAAATTGCAATCTCCAAATTCATCTACACCTTTTCGTTTTAGGACTGAAGAAAGAGCTGCAAAGAGAAAGGAGGCAAGGCTTTGAACAATTAATGATTTCCACTCTAATTCACTCTGCCATAATATTGTGGTTAATCTTTTGTGCACTTTGTATTTTTCTCTTTCCAGAAGCTAGAAGAGAAATTTAATGCCAGTCAAGCACAAAAAATCCAGCAGCAAGCAACACTTAAGGTTGTATCTTTTTGCCAAGCATATTTTAAATTTGAATAACTTACTTTCATATTTCATTATTGAATTGAGGCATAGTTCATATCAATACATGACAGCCACTGATCCTTCTGTTTGAGCAGGAGAAAGCAGAAACAGAACTCAGAAAACTGCGACAAAGCCTTTGCTTCAAGGCCAGGCCACTGCCAAATTTCTATAAAGAAAGATCAGCATCTAAGAATGAGATTAAAAAGGTACATTCTGTCAAGACATTTTGAGAGCATTCCGCTTCATATATTTCCACCGCATTGACATAAAACTTATCTGTAAAGTATGCCTTCCCTAGTTTTGTCATTCGGCTCAGAAGGTAAATTGATGCAATTTTTCTTCTTTTGATTCTCCTCCTCTCTTACAGGTTCCACTGACACAACCTCAGTCACCGAAGGCAGGAAGAAGTTCCACACCCGGCACAGTCCAGAGCAAACTCTCCCAACCTTCTCAAAAGCCTTCAACCAAGAACATCGACTCCAATGGATTACTGGCAAAGAAAAGTCACAAATCTCATTCTCTCAATTCAAGACCTGCAAGGCTTACTCATGAGAATACATCTCCAAATATTCAGCAAGAGTAAGCAAAACCATTCAAGTATCATGTTCCTAGGGAATCAAATTATTGTTGAGCAATGTCGTGCTGCTGAATGAATAAGTTGAGTTTTCACGACGCATGAGACCATTGGCTACAAATCGTCACAATCATGTTCTGTATGCAGAGTTTTTCCTGTAATTAGTCTTTACTAGCTTCAGCTATTGTAAAAATCCATGCAAAATTGTTGAGCTTATGTTTTTAAGTGCTGAAAGCCACAATTTTTTGTTTAAATTTGAACAGCCCATTTACTTCAATATACAGATGATGGTAAATATGGTAGATTAAACCATCATTATGCGGTTTATGCTACTACTAATAATCAACCTCTATGGCAAATCCAACAAAATATTGATGGGAAATTGTGCGTGTGAGTAAGAGCAAAGAATAAAGAGTAAAAACAAAGCAAAACAAAAAGGAGCAAGAAAACAGAGGGAAAGTAATGAGTTTCACATTCTTTTATGCCATGTAACAGTAAGTGCGAGATAAAAATCAAACAGGTAATTTACAATATATCTACAAAAATACTCACCTTACTGCTCTCTCTTTATATGAATCTGTTTAAGGAGCAAATCGAAAAATGCTTCCTCACGTGCAGAATCCATTGCTAACATCCCATCTTTTAAAATCAGAGATCTTAACATCAGCTCCCATAAGCCAACTCGCAGTCGATGTCATGTGATACACCCAACTATGTATAGAATTTCAAACCCTTGCATCTCTTGTCCACCTCTTTAAGATATAATGGTCGGGTAGAATTTTGATATTTCTATAGTCAAGCACTTTTAATGCATGACTGCACAAAACTCCCATATACTCAAATTTCATACAGCTGCACATAACTGTCTCATCAGACAAGTTATAAATCACTGTATACTCTCGTAGTTGACCATAGAAGCTCACTTTATACTCAAACAATGAGCCACTCCCAGTGCACTGGTTAATGACAATATTCAGACATGCTTCATATTCTTGTTGAAACAGTTCAAATATCTTTGGTGTGTAAACATCCCTTGCATGCTTCAAGAGAATCACATCCCCCATTAGTTTTGGCATGTGTTGGTTCATATCATAATTAGCTTCTAATTCTTTGTAGTGCCAATCATTCACCATTTTCCCAAGTTGCTTGAAAAATAATAGCACATCCGAGTCAGACTTTAGATACTTCCTCAAGTTAGCAGTAAAACATTCACATAGTTGTGCCCTTCTTATATCAGCGCAAAATATATGCCTTCTGTATGCTGTGGCCCACTTCTCTCTATCTTTAAATATCTCATTCAACCACTCATTTTCCCAGAGACCATAAACATCCAGCATAACCTTCCATGCATGGATGAAGTCCTCTTCCTCCTCTTGATCAAAGAAGCAACTACATAAATCATTTTTAAAGCAATCTGAGCTCACAAACATGTGGTGTAGCTGTTTAAGAGCCTTTTGGTACATGTGCCAAACACATATTCGATGAAGTGTTCCAGGCAATGCGAAAGCAATCGCTTCAGCCAGTACTGCATCTTGATCGGTGAGGATTGTTTTTGGCCTTTTCCTAGACATCACCTCTACGAAAGTTTGAAACAACCACTTGAAAGACTCGACAGTGTCATCATACAATATTGCACCACCAAAGATCACCATTTGCTTATGATGGTTCACCCCAATGAAAGGTGAAAATGGTCGACCATCTTTGACAACTTTGTAGGTTGTATCAAAGCAAACCACATCGCCGAAGTCACTATAATCCACTACCATCTTTGAATCAGCCCAAAATATATTAGTTATTTGATCTTCAGCATCAAGTTGCATAACATAGATGAAAGATGGATTTTTCAATTGCTTGCTTCGAAAATATTGCTGTATCCTTTCTACTTCACCCTCTTTCATTTCTCTTGTATGTTTAAAAGAAAGTTTACTTTTGTAATCTATGGGATTATATCCATGCTCGTCTCCAACTGTGTTGTGTGGTAACTCAAAGGTTGATTTTGGCTGTATTGTAAACACATTTTGTACGTTTCCTTTAGCAACTTGGGACACAGCTAACCTCTTTTGTGATCTTAACATGCGCACTCGACATGCAGCGACAAGGTCATGATTGTGCTTTTCTTCAAAATGCGTAACACGATATTTACCATCAGATTGACGAGAAATCACCAATTGTGCCAAACAACCAATTCTGGTTTCCTTTCGAGATCTCTTCACATTCAAATCCCGCTTGTCTTTTTGCCGATAACCTTCCCTAAAGCAAGTAAACCTCCTAGATGCCACAGCACCATCTATTTTGCTCCTATTTACATAATCTTTTCGAACACTAAAACCTACCTGTCCAGCATATGCATTATAAAACTCATATGCATGATCTTCTGAGTCAAACCCCATTCCAAGTTTTGGTTTTCCATCCATCCTAGAACTATTAATTAAGTCAGCTTCAACTGCTTGAGCAAAGGTTAATCTCTTCTGCGAAGGTAACATATGAGTTGTACTTTGTGTCACAAACTCATGATTGTGTTTTGTTTCAAAATGGGTAACACGGAACCTTCCATTAGGCTGTCGTGCAATAGTCATATGTGCCAAGCAACCTGTCCTTGTTTCCTGCTGAGACTTCCTGACATTCACATTATGCTTCGCTGGCCGATAACCTTGTCTATAACAAGTGTATCTCCTGGACATAACGGCACCATTTATCCTACTTTTATTCACAAAATCTTTCCTGATGCTGAATCCCTCCAACACAGCATATCTACTGTAACATTTGTATGCATGATCTTCTGATTCAAACTCCATGCCAACTTTCGGTATCACAAATGTAACTTCCTCATCTTTTACAAGTATCCCTGCCCCAGATGCAGTCATAGAGGTAACTCTTGGACTTTGAGATTCCTGCTCACCATCAACATCCATCTCACACTTGTTGGAAGAGGAAACTCGTAGAGTCTGGCACTCCTCATTATTAATATCCCCCATACTTTTATCAATGGAAAAAACACTTGGGGTCTGACAATCACGCTCACTATCAGTACTTTCACTGCTAGTTTCCACAGTGGAATCCTTTTGGCTTTCCCTCTCCTGCCCCACATCTATGTTCACCCTAAGCAATTTCTGAAGTTCAACTTTTACATCCTCTTCGGGTTGATGACTTGACACATCAGCTTCTCTACAATCCATCAACCTTCATTCCAAGAAGAAAACGGAAGCCATGAGTACCAAGTAAAAAAGTAACCACTGTTCACAATGAGTAACTCTATAGCAACATTTAAGTAAGACAAACAAAAGATAATCTATAACTACTTATTAAAGCAACTGAAAAACTGAAACACGAGTAAAATGCTCAAGTATGAGCTTGAAAATGCTTAATTAAAAAATTATTAAACAAAAAACTGCAATCACTTCTCTTTTCGAGCACAATTCTAAGAAACTAACAGTTCCTTCCAAATTTTACAGCAGATACAACACTAAAATGCCAAACCCCACAAGCTGATCACTACATATCTCGTGTTTCTTAACTTCATATTCAAAATTAAACACTTAATCTTCAACTCCTAAATAATTCTTGAAGTGAACATACCCTCTTCAGCATATGCAATTACAAAGAAATTAAGCAATTTACATAACACTTCTCAACACTGTAAGGACAGAAGAAGAATGGGAAAAGTTAAGGTGTTAAGAGGGTGCAAACCTTGTGATGATCAAGCAGAAATCAACGGACAGGATCTTCTGATTTTCAGTTGGGTGAAATGGCGGGAGCGATTATAACACTGTGAAAAGAGGAACCGGATGAACTGTAGAGATTTAGGGCTTTTCTTTTTAGTTGAGTTGCAAAAACGAAGATAGAGAGGAAAGACAGGTGTCAGATTCTGACGTGGGTTGCGTTCGATGAAATGCTTGACGTGGCTATTTACTATTGGTTAACTGGACTCTACCACATGTTGCCACTTGGATGGTAGTTTTGGATTTTTCAAAGGTAAAATAAAATAGGGGGATTATTAATTTATTACTCTAAACCCCCGAGGTTTCTCTGATATACTCTAAACCCTGGGGGTATGGTTGTGGTATTAGGAAAAATCTGTAATAAAGGCTCAAAATGCCCCTTATCCTTTAATTTTGTTCTTCACTGTTAAATACACCCATTATTCTTTATAAAAATTAACAAACAAAATACAAAAAAAAAAAAAAAAATTTAAATTAAATTAAATTAAATTCCTAAATAAAAATTAAAAATTAAAAATTTGAATACCCATAACCCCCGTCATTGGGTCATTCTATATTCTTTTATTGGATTATCTTAGTTAATTAATATTATACATACTTATAGTAAATATGATAAACATCTCAACAGATGAGGAATAATACAAAATAAATGGTGTTATGTTAGTTTAACGATCAATTATTGTTGTTGTCGATAGCAACGTCAATCAATTACAATTTTATAAAATTGGATTTTAAATTAATTTCATTTTTTTTCTTATATTATTTTCTAATTTTAACAAGGCTTTTTATATGTGGAAGTTAAGAATCACAATAATAATGAACCAAACCAATTAGAAATGAGTTAGTTAAAGAAACTAGTGCCTTGTGCTTCAAGGGTCGTTGATCAATTGAAGGGCAAAGGATATATACAATGATCTTCAAGAGATTAGAACACATGTACAGTCATAATAATAACGTAGATTATTCACATTTAAATTATAATAAAAACATTACAAATCTAAATCTGCAATCACATCTCCCAACACACACCAACCTTCATCTCCCTCAATTCCCTCAAAAATCATACCCACATCAAAGAAACTCATAATACTACCCTCCTCTTCATAATCATCATTAACTTCTGCAACTTCTACGGTCTCATCCCTTCTCGTTTCAGGCCAAAATTGTTCCATTGAAACGTCATGACGTTGACCATCATATTTATCATCAACATCATCATCATCATCTTCTTCTTCATCCACATACTGATTATCCAGATCATTCAATATCCCCGTCGCAGAAAACCCAGAATAATTCACGCCGGCTTGCCCGTCCACCATCCGCCAAGTGAGCGACTTATGATTGGAGACCGAAACTGAATCTCGTGAGATAAGCTTCTGGGTTCCCTTGTTCTTGCTCCTGTATCTATTTCTATAACTATAATAAACCGGGTACGAGTCGTAATAGTAACATTCTGTACACGGCTTGCCACACTTAGAGTGGTTGGTGGGTTTCGTCGACACCTTGGTAAAAAATCCGGCAGTCGGGGGCGCATCGATCTTGTTTAAGATCCGGGCATGGGGTCTAGGGTTCCATGGGGATGGTAAGAGCCCGCAGGTCCTAACCATACCGTGTTGGCGACCTTCTCCCTTCATAACGAGTGAAAAAAGAGTTGTGTGGTGAATGGAAGTTGTTTAATGTTCATTTATACAAGTTGGTTTCTTTTCAATAGGGAGAAGTTTGGAGAGCAAGGTGTTTATTTTTTTAGTCGTTGTTCGTGTGGAACAAGATAAAATATATTGACATTTCGCCTTTCTTGATGAGTGGATCGCAAAATGGACGGTTATTAATTAATTTGAATTAATTGTACTTGGCAGACGTAACATCCATGTTGGTTCCGTAGAGTCCTTAAGCGAGAGGGACTTGGTAAAAAAGCTGTCGGCTACTCGTAAAGCCTTTTATTTTCCTTTATTTTTTAGATTCTGTCTGTGCAAAAGATCCAGCAACCAGTGTCCATTGAATATCTTTGGTAACAAAGCAAAGGAAATTAATAATATGGTGAAGCTGCTTTACTATGAATACCTTTTTAAAATTACATTTTATACTTTATAGCAATTTCCAGTATCTTCTGTACAAATATTGAGAAAATCAAACAGAAGACTGTTGTGGAAACAGTGTAATTTTGTACAGTATCGTACATAGGTCTCTTCCTTGTAAATTACAATCAGTAGTGATTTGTGAGCATTACACATTTTCTAGCTCAGGGTGATCAGAATCAGAGGACTTAAGAAGTGGGTCTGAAACGTCTTTCTTGAGTTTAGGAGCGATTACTGCTTTCTTGGCCGGATATAAAAGATAATGTTGACACATGAATATGATGTCAAAGAAAACCGACACCTGCAACATAAGAATGATTAGAGGGCAGAATTTACTCACGGTTGATCATGAGATAATTCCCAGCAATGAAAGAACATTGCAAAAACGTAAATGATATGTTTCATCTACTTTTTTTCTATACTTTACGCACAAAATTAAAACTATTGTTTTTAGAAAATAATAACGCATGCATTCTAAAAGTATAAAAGATGTTTTACCTAATTACATTTTTTATAACAAAAACACCAAAAAAAACCAATGGAAAACTCCACGCCTAAGTGCTCTCACCACAGGCAAAATATCAAAAAGCTACTTGATGAATTAATGAGTCTCAAATTAAAATGGCATATAATACAAAGCTCAGTTTTTAAAAGAAGTGCACATTTCATACCAAAGATAGCAATGTCTTCCCTATATTGCCATAGAAGTTAACCCAAGAATCTGCAAAAAAAAGAAAAAAAAAATTAATTATAAGATTGAAATTAGCATTAGCAATAACATGATGCAGGTTGAAAATTATTCAGTTATTAAGGGATTGCATACTTTGATCAATAGACTGCACTATCATCTGAGTATAATTTGTACACCCTCCAACAAAATCAAGTAATATATTCCCAATGCTGAATCCATCTGTACTCTTTCGCCTAAAGTTCATCACTGCCTGTATTTTATAACATAGTTCAAAAATATTTATAAGTGGCCAATGGCTAAACAAGCAATTAACTTCAGCATATTAATCAAAATACCATGACAAACACTATGCATCTACAACTACAAATTTCTTTGAATCATGCTGTTCGTAAGGGATTGTCATCACAACAAAACCCTGGCAACTTGCCCCTTATGAACAATTTAAATATACAGTGACATTAATTATGTGAAATTTAAATATCCTATAAAAACTAAATCTGCACATTGGCATTGAAATATAGAAGCCAGTTCAATATGGATACATCATCATAACATCTGACAAAAGAAAAAAAAATTCAATCTATCCACCAACTAAAACTTTTTAAGCACAAAGATGGTATATATATGATAATATTCAAATTATGGAAAGAAAAGAATCAGTATGAACCACATCAAGTCGAAAAATGAAATTAGAAGCATTAATTGGGGTACTAAATATACAGTTGATGACACAATATGATAGGGAAATCTAGTCAGATTATGTGTTATAAATTCAGTTTCCTTATAAATATAAGATCTAGATGCAACTGAAACCATTCCTTTGCGACATAACACAGCTTAACCAGATAGCCAAATAAATTCAACAACTTACACATATGTTCAATGGATGGTGAATTCTGTTTTACAGGGAGAAAAGAATCCATGTATTATGAAGTTCAATGAGTTGAAAGACTCTTATAATTAGATGCAGCAAATAAGGCTGCACAATAATTAATTGAGTCCTCCTGTATGCATTCAGGTTGTCCTCTTTGTAGCATTTGAATGAATTCACACAGCCAAATAAACTGATTTAAGGGATCACTTCATTTCTACAATTCCTTAGATTTTTGATGTCTCCAAACTAACAACAAGCTTGTGAGCTAAAATACATAATGATGTACAACGGACTGATTCAAATTACCTTAATTTTATGTGTATAATCAAACAAGTAAAATGATAGACCTAGCCCATATGGACTTCATAGGCACATGGAAATGATGATGCATCAATAAGAATAATCATTAACAAAAATAATGCTAGCTATTCTCTAATATAAAAAGTGCTGTATGAAAGGGACTTTGACCTGGGGAATGTACTTTACAAGTGTCATAAAAACTTGAATTGAGCTGAAACAAAATTGAAGACAAAATATTAGAATTTATATAATGAGTACCACAAGAACTTCAACTGAGCTAAAATAAATTATATTTGCTAGGAATTTAGAAAGTTTAATTTCTAACCATTCCATCTATGTATTACACCACTACATAAAAGACATCAAAGTTGCTATTGATATTACTTCAATTGAAAAATATTAACTAGGGATACAGAAGAGAAAAATAGTTACAGTTGTGCAATGAGTATATTTAGGGTGGGGCAGAGGCCATTGTGGCAGTTTATGAAGCTACCCACCCCCAAATTCCCAACCAACTCCTCTTCCAACTCCTATTCGATCCTAAGAAGGAAAAATAGAGGGCAAAAATATGGTGTGAATTCCTTACATAGAATGCCATTTATCTAAGGACACATTGCTGTAGAAAGCATATTAAGGCTCAGCAGAATTTATCAGCGCTTTTCAGGTCTAAAGTAGGTCCAGGAATAAAATTCAAACTAATATCAACCGATGCACCAGTTTTTATGTTACAGCAGCGTTGCCCTTGTAACAAGCTAAACGAAACTATTTCCATGGGTGCAAATGACTAAGTTCCTCCATAAAAGTGGCATGATATAAGGAGTTAACATTTTGCAAAAACAGTGGACAGGCTTTTTAATTTCTTGAAGCATCTCAAAGCGTTAGTATAAACTAAGAAGTCTACATAACCCTACCAACCAAATAGAAACATCTTTCTTATGCTTATTCATAATTCTAATGACATTATGAAATGTCACGGATAATCCAAATAGGATTTACTTTTAAAAATGATACAGAGAGTAATACTAATTATGTACCAATTATCGCATCCTGATATAAACAACAGTATGCACCATTGTGAATGCGTATGATCTTTACATGATAATGTCCAATCCAAAGGTAGCAAAAACTCAAAGAGCAACTCACTTAAAGATGTTTAAAAGCCAAAGCCAAGAATGACTAGGCAGAGCCACGAAGAAACAAACTGCAGCAGTTAACCACACAGCAGATACAATCGTGAGAGATGTCTTAGAGACTTTTTGAACTCCACGCTGCACAAAATTCATACTATAGATTACAATAACATCTTAAGCATATGATAAACACCTCCCCGAGCATCAATTGTGACACGACCACAAATGAAAACTGAAACACTTACTTCATAGATTGCAATTTGCAACAAGGTGATCTCTGTCAACAGAACAGCATGTATAGAAAACGCCACATCATTTGCAGCCACAGGAATCATCTAGAACAAGTAAAAATCAGCTGATTTTAATACGAAATACGACGCATAATTTAAGAATTCTGAACACTCGAGAAACGGAGTAAACAGAGAAATATAAAATTTAATCAAAAACGAAGAGAGAAAAAAGACCTGATCGTAGCCGTACTTCTGAAAGTACTGTTTCTGAATAGCGGGGCTAAAGTAGAGACAGACATTGTAGATCAAGTAGGAGGAGTGCTTCGTCAAATTAAGCACCACGAAATCAAAGTTCAAACCTATAACACTAAGAAATCAAAAACACTTATTAATCAGCGTTATTGTTTTTACAATGAAAAACACAATTAAAATTTAATTGAGCGGCAAAATGTTTACCTTTTGCGGCGGAAATTTAAGATGACTTGAGGGTAGAAACTGACGGACCATGAAATGAAAGAGATCCAACCAAGAGTTTCGTAAGTGATTTCCAGCGGAATCGAATTCCACGACGCCATTTGTTTCTCTCCCGTTATTCGCTATTCCTACAATCCTACTTAACCGGAGAGAAAAAAGAAACAGATGGCCATGGCCCTGATTCGTCCTGGGGCTTTTATAATAAATCGTATTCGTGGTCGTGGCGTTGTAGTGTTGTATTTGTTCTTTTTTGTTGTCTAGATTCATTCGCCGTACACCCACATCATAAATAAACTAAAAAATTTATTGAAATTCATATGACTTCTATTAATATAACTCTTTGACAATTTATACAATTATATTATATAATATAACATAAGTGAAAAATAAGAATAAAATTATGTAATAGATTGGATAGCTTTTGAATTTCCCTAGTAATTATTAGTAGAGTAATACTACACATACATTATTTTTATATAATATTTTTCATATAATATTATATGATAAAATCTAATTAGTTAATTTAAAGTTAAAATTAAACTTTTACCTAATCATATCTTGCTACATAATATTATATGAAAAATATTATATAAAAATAATATATATGTAGTATTATTCTTATTATTAATGTTTGATTTCCCTTTAATTGTCTGAATTTTGACAAGTCACATTTTCTCTTAGTCCAGAAATGAAAGTTTTATTTTGTGCTTATGAATTTGGAGAGTAAATGACTTTTTCCCACCCAAGGTTTGCCTTAATAACCCTTTCCACCCAACGTTTGTATTCCGTTAATATCCAAAATACATTTCACTTTCTCAACTGATGTTTGAAAATTATCAAGAAACAAGGTAAGAAGTTTTTTGCAAAGTGGAGGCCGGTAAATCGAATGGTGGTGACTGATTGAATATTCGTCACCAAAATCCACAAGAAATCAGCTAAGAATAATGAATCCTAGTTTTGTAGTGGTTAACAATTGGCCAGAAATCAGATATCCGAGTGAGAGAGGTTTTATCTTTGGAGGTTAAAATAGTGATGATAGAGAAAATTTTTGTGTTTGAACTCGACTTTGGGTAGTACCAAAATATTAACTTTAGGTGAGAAAGTATTTTTTTGGGGGAAAGTGTTATTAAGCCAAACCTGGTTGGGAAAAAGTGGTTTAGTGTTATTAATTTGGCGGGTAGCACATTACTGAAGTTGTACGCCTCCCTGGACGACGTGAGAGCTGATGCAAAAAGGGAAACTTAAGTATCTGTCAATGCGAATGAATGAATGTAGACGACAATGGGGATGGGTTCGTTTATTGAAATTTCATATGGAATGGGTATATTCAGTTTTAATTTTGCAACTGGGCTCCTCCTTTTCTTGATTCCAATTTCTCCATTATCCATAGCACTCCTCTTCTTCTTATCTCTTTATCTTATCATACCTTCATACTTGGAGAAGATGGTCCATCTTCTACAAATTTCAAAATTGACGCCTACGTGATTGTGACAAATTCATTTTTATAGCTTGAATGATTTGATACATCATAACCTTTTGGTATTAGCTCAAAGTTACTCTAATTTTCACCAGTCTACTAACTACATTTTTCATGTCGATCCTTTTCTCAGGTAAATCTGCTGTGCAATCCATGGCCAAATTTAAGATACATAACAAACATTCTTCCCTTGAAGAGAAGTCCATCTCCTCTCTGCTTACCAAATCTCTGTCCACAACTTCAATAATGGAGTTATCTAATAATGACTCACCAATCCAACTCCTCAAGCACGTTTCTCCATCGAATATTTCGTCAGTTGGCCTCTTTCTTGTGAATGTTTCCATTAGTAAAATACCATAGCTGTAAACATCACATTTTCTTGACACTTTTCCTTCTCTTCCGTACTCTGCGGATGATACTACAAATTAATAAACCAATAATGGCAGAGAAAATTAAGCAAGAACAGATTAAACTACACAAACCTGGTGCCATGTAGCCAATTGTGCCAAGGGTTTGAGTAATTTGCATCACAGACTTTTCTTCATCTAAGAGTTTCGCAATGCCAAAATCACTGAGATGTGCAACCATATTTTCGTCTAACAATATATTGCTGGGTTTTAAGTCACAATGAAGTATGGGAGTTGAATAATCAAAATGGAGATATTCCAATGCTGAAGCAACGTCTATCATGATGTTCAACCTTTGAGAAAAATCCAAGAAATAGTTGTTAGAATACAAGCATTTCTCCAGGCTTCCGTTAGGCATGTACTCTAGCACCAGTGCTTTAAAATCTTTGTTTGAACAAGTGCTGATGATTTTGACGAGGTTTCGATGACGAATGCTTCTCATTACTTCACATTCACTGTCAAAACTCTTAAACGCTTCTTCAAGCTGTTGGTGAAACACCTTTATTGCAATCTCCATACCATTGGAAAGTCTTCCTTTGTAAACTGAACCAAAACTCCCAATGCCAAGTAGGTTACTTTCGCAAAATCCATCCGTTGCTTGCAGAAGTTCTTGGAAAGAAAATCTTCTCCATAGTGGTTGGAGTGAAGTATCGGCATCATTGGGCAGCTTTCTGATCCTTGTTCGATACCTTAGCAGCCCAATTATGAGAGCCAAGACGATTATTGTTAGCACAATGCTCAATGGCAAAACAATTCGTAGAAGAACTATTCTTGTCCTTGATTTCCCAAGAGTGCTAGTTTTGCACGGTGGGACTTGAAATTGGGTTGAACCGCACAATGCCAAATTCCCTACGAATGATTCAGCTGAGAAGTTTGCAAATGCTCCTCCTTCAGGAATCTGTCCTCGTAGTTTGTTGAAGGAGAAATTCAGATATTTGAGATAGATGAGTGCCTCTAATGACACGGGAATAACCCCAATGAGATTATTGTTGGACAAATCCAAGAACTTCAAGTTGGTTAAGCTGCCAAATGATTCAGGAATCGGGCCTTCTAATGTATTATATCTTAAGGAGAGTGATTGCAGATCTTTCAGACCTCCAATAGTGGTTGGTATGCCACCTGATAAATGATTCCTGGATAAATCTATTGTTGCCGCAACTTTCAAACTTCCAATATCTAATGGAAGAGAACCATTCAGAGAATTTGATGACAAGTTAATGAACAAGATGTCTTTAAGATTCCACAACGTGGAGGGTATAATGGAAGTTAACATATTGGATGCTAAAGAGAGACGTCTTATCGAAGTGAGATTACCTAAACATGCAGGTATAGATCCGGAAAACTTATTATTGCCTAAGAACAAATCAGCCAGTCTAACCAATTGACAAAGGTCATCGGGGATGGTTCCTTCTAGATTGTTATTTTGAATTCTCAAACCTTGGAGTTTTTGCAATCGACCAAATGTAGTTGGCGTTATTCCATTGAATTCATTGTGGTCTAAATATAAAGCTATTAAGTTCTTTAAGTTGCCAATTTCTTCAGGAATGTTGCCTCTAATATTGCAGTTGCCCATCTCTAAATACTCCAAGGAAACAGAAAGATTTCCTATGGACCTGGGAAGGATACCATTGAGTGGATTGATGGATAATATTAGTTTTCTTAAATTCTGACAATTTGTCAAAGAAGAAATGAAACTCAAACCTGGATCAGAAGATGTCAAGGCATTATCAGGTAAGTATAGGCTTAGAAGACTCCTTAAGTCACCAATTTTGTCAGGAATAGAGCCTGAGAAAAAATTTCTACCCAGGTCTATCATAGACAGCCTAGACATATTAGAGATGGATGCAGGAATTGTGCCGGTAAAATCATTGCCCGCCAAATAAAATCTCTCAAGTTCTGGAATTCCAGAGCCTATGGTTGATGGAAGATTTCCTGAGAGTTTATTCCCATCAAGGGCAAGTTCTTTCACTGTTGACATATTGAAGATTGAAGCCGGAAAAAGGCCACTATGGTTGTTACTTGGAAGCCCCAAAACTTCAAGTGTACGTAGATTACCGATTTCATCAGGTATCTCACCTGCAATAATATGCGAGAAAAATATTTGTGCAAATCAAAATTTGTTTGTTTATGTTAATAAGCTTTAGGATCGAAGCACCTTACCTCCGAGTTTGTTGTAGCCAAGAAGTATCCATTTAAGGTCAGTCATGTTCCCAATTTCTTTCGGTATGGCTCCGGTAAAATAATTGTACGACAACGACAAATATTGGAGTTTTTTGCACTTAGACAAAGTGGCCGGTATTTCGCCATCAAACTTGTTTATTGACAAGAGAAACAATTCCAAACTCGGAAGGTGATCGAAATAGCCGCCGGGACTTCTCCTGATAATCCATTCTGAACGAAATCAAGACTTTGTAATGAAAGCATGTTGAAAAAGATGGAAGGGAAGGAACCAGACAGCTGATTATCACTGAGATCGATCTTTTGCAGTGAAGAAACGTTGAAGATGGAAGAGGGAATGCTGCCTGAAAGCTGGTTTTTACTAAGATCAAGCATTAGCANTCTTAGTTAAGATTTAATTCTTTGTTTAATTTCAGCTTTGTTTTCTTTTTCTTTTAAAAATTGCTCCCACCAATCCAAAGATTTCGATTTCTTCAACTTGATAACATTAGGAAACTTAGTGATTTGCTACAGTCCTCGTGGGAACGATATTCTACCCATCACTTTATTACTTGAGCGACTAGTATACTTGCTAATTTTGCATGTTGTAGTAAACGCGCATCACTCGACCCATGTGGAAGAGCCGAGCTGGGTGGGACTTGGAGATAGGGTGGATCACTCACGTTGATGGCATGTTTGATGGTGGTGATATTTTGTTGTTGTTGGTTGGGGATGGTTTGAGTAATTTGTTCACGGGTGATTGATTGGTCGGCTGATAAGGGTCGTGTTTGCATGGCTGGGTTAGTTGTGTTTGTAATGGTGGGGATCGGGCCATCCATTAAGGATGATTGGAGCTGGGAAGACTGAGGGTTTGAAGCCGAGGATATGGGGTCTAAGGTCATGAGAGGTTACATGGAATTTACTGGGACACGAAAACGGTTCTCTAGTATTTGGTTAAGTGGGAAGTCAAGAGTATAGAACTATGTTACCTTTTCCCATAGGTTTTGGTTCTCAGCTCGAATGTGGGTATTCTCAGCTCAAATGTTGACATTCTCAGCTTTCAATGTTGTGACCTTCTCGATGTGTTGTTGCACTGATGCCGAGAGAGCCTCAACCTTAGCCACGAGGTTTGCTGAGGTAGTGTCTATGGTTTCAGTCATGATGCGATTCTCTATAGAGTAGGTTGCTGAACGAGAGTGGATTGCCAGAGGCCCCACAGTGGGCGTTAAACTATAGACGGTAAAATCTACAGTTACCGAAAGAGGTCTGATCCTGTGAGTTTGAGGCCACTAACAATCTGTTGAACTTGCACACAAAGAAAACAAGTGCAAAGCTTATGTAAACACTGATGTGGTGTCTGTCGTAAGCACTCCGACGCTCAAGTCAATAAGGGGAATAAGACTTATTTAGTGAAGGCTAAGGGAAAGAAGGATTACCGAAAGTTTAGTCGGAAACTAGAACTACGACATAGGTGTATAACTCTTAGGAGCTAGTAGGTGGTATCGAGATTCATTACCTAATGAGAGGCATGACCTATCTTTATATAGTGGTCATCATAGTAGGACTTTGAATCTATAATGGCAAAGTTATAGTAAATAGGAAAAACCCTGGTTTATTTGCCTTTGTAGGGTTGAGAGTCCTAATTCACATAAGATACAGGATCTTGAGTGAATTAGGATAAACCCCAAATAGGAAATAGATGTATTAGTATTTTAGTGGGATTATGGGCCCTTAAAGGATATTATGTAGCAATGGGCCTGGCCTTAGGTAGGCTAATGGTGATGCCCAATACGGAGAGAGGCCGGGTTTAGGCCGTGGGTCTAGCCCAAGACATGAACTTTGACAGAGGCCCAACCAGAATTGGGCCACGACCTTGGGCCTACATAATAGAATTACTTGCTTGGGCCTGATAAAGCTTAAGACGATTTTTGGCCCATACAAAGTTTAAATTAATAATTATTATTAAAAATTAATTTTACTTAAGACTATAATTCCTCGTTTGAAAGTTGAAAACCATAATTTCATAGATTAATCATTGGATTATTTACCTATACAGAGAAATACATAAGTGGCTTTTAAATACACTTGCTTAAATATTTCTGATACATATATCCACTCTTCAACACATTAGATTTTTTAATTTAATACTCAAATAATCAAAAGATGTTACGAATGTTTTAATAACCAATTCGGGGTAAAATCCGGTAAAGTGGTCGGCTCCTAGGTTGAACCAGTTCAATCAATTCGTTCAATCAATGATGTCATCATGATGATATAAGTAAACAAAAAAATCTTTAAACTCCTATAAAAACATTCACTTTAGGCATCACAAACCATACAAAATAATCAATCGAGAATCTTTAAAGTCCATAAAAGTATAAAAAACCAAAATTTAACTATCCAATAAAACCAAGCCACCAAACCAATAACACCTCCAACATCATATTGTCGATACTGAACAGCTTTTGTTGAATATTTTTATAAAGAGTAAACGGCTATTTCCCACCCAAGGTTTGCCTTATTGATACTTGTTCATCCAAAAAGTTTTAAAAAACCAAATTATTACCCACAATGAATTTCCGTCAGTAAATTTAGTTATAGTAAATTTAGTTATAAAGAAGGGTAAGATAGTCAAAAGTCATTTGTAAGTAAGGGTAGAATAGTTTTTTTATTTTTAAATAAAAATTTAAAATTTAAAATTTAAAATTGAAGTGGTGTGCTAAGGCGTTGACACCTATCCTACGTTGTTGAACTTAGAAAGAAAGCAAAAGAAATGATAACTTTTGCTTTTTCTGGAAGCGGCGACTTTTGGGTTTTGGCTAACGGCTTCAACTGCATTCTGGTGATTGTTTACGGCGACCGGTGAGTGTTAATGACGAGTTAGACTGGTAGGGTGGACCTGTGGTTGGCGATTTTGGAGTTTTGGGTTCATTTACAGTGTTGACGATAAGGGTTTGGGGTTGTTATTAGAGAGTTTTTTCAGCTAAGGGCTTGTTTTTTTGGCGAACGGCAATTTCTTTGGTGGCTTCCAATGACAGTTGGTCTACTGACTCATGGCTTTTGAAGTCGTTCATCGTTGAGGCGGGTAACGATAAGGTTTGCGTTTGCAAGTGGTTGAACTTGTGGAGGACTGGAAGTAGTCATCTTTTTTGGAACCTTTGTTGTTTTCGTTTACTGTAGGTTGTACGGAAAAAAATGTGGTTTTTGTTTTGTTCTTTTCGTTTGCATGACAAGAAGATTTGTTTGTTGTTTTTGTGTACATAGGGTTAGTGCTTTATGATTCTCATGGTATATTTTCAGCTTCTTTCCGGTATGGGATCACAGTCACAAAATGTTGTTCATGTCCTCGCTGCATTAAGAAATTTCACAATGTCTCAGAAGGAAAAAACTACGGATGAGCTGGTGCAGGACAAGTGCCTTCGTTACATAGAAGATGGTAAAATAGGACTTGGTGTCAGGTATTGCCTTGATTTGCGGAGTTGGTTTTGCAATCTGGATGTTCCTTCCTGTGAAGTGTGCAATGAAGTTGTACTGAAGGTTGTATTAATTGTTTCTTTGCCACTCTACTTTCCAGATCTGATTGATTTTTGTTTAGTGCAAAGTTTTATTTTTATTTTTAATTTGATTATTCCATATGATTATTTTACCCAATTTGCTTATTCGATACCCTTAAAGGAAGTTCCTTCTAGGCTGTTCTTGATGCTTTATCAAAAAACATAATTAAGTTTGTAACGCTTCCAGCTAATATAGCTTTTAGAAGGGTTAGTTGGAGGTTAAGATATATTTAAAGATATGCTCATATGCATGGTATCATAAATAAAATGTAATGCCTAGTTCTTTAAATTTATCGGAGAACTTGAGGATTTAAACATCAAACTGATGGATTAGTCATAGTTTTAAGCTAAGTTGCTGAATCATTGTTTACTGACTCCATTGATACTTTGTTCTAATAATATTTGACAGGGAGAATTGTGCCAAACCAAAGGTTGCCTCTCTTGAATTCATCACTACTGCGTGAAGAACAAAATAGGGTATAAGTCTTGACACATTCCTTTGTCTTGTGTATTGTAGAAACAGATTTCTTGAAGATGAATCTGCTAACTGAATTTGTTTCAGGGCGAAGTAGTCTGTCCAAGTTGTGCCATGCATTTTACACTTTTTTTTGCTATATTGCTGATGTTGAGCTCTTTTATGAGCCTTCGAGATGCGTATTGATTCTTCCGTATGTGTGTGAATGAATTATGCCAATTGCTTCCATAGAGGATGAAGTCTGGGTAATCATTGTTTGCTGCATGATATTGCTGAAATTTGAAATAATGGTTTTAATTGATTTTCTTGAATTTGCAGCTGTATAGGTAGTATACATAGATAATATAATTTTTCTTTTGATGGTATATCAATTTCCTTGAAGCAACTCTTTTTATCTTAATATCAAGTTTCAGCCACTTGATTTATTTATATTGATGGCAATATTCTGGTTCTGAATGCAAACTCTTCTATTTTGATTACTCTATAGTAACCTTGCTGTAAGGGTTAGGCAGAAATAATAATAACCTTTGATTGGGTAGTCAATAAGACTATATAATTATTTTGGATGGGATTGTGATTGGGTTTGGGAGTGTAGGTTAGATATGATATGATCTGAGTTGTGTGGAGTACGTTCTTTATGTTATGATGTGTTATTGAATGGAGTTATAATGATATGGTCATGCATTTGATATAATATGAGGATCCTTTTGGCTGTATAATTTGCTTATCAAACAGTAAATTAGTAAATCACAATGCAAAATTTTTGTAGAGTGCAGACATGTATTGTTATTTAAGTTGTATCGTCTGTTCCAAGCTGCACTCGTTTTAGTAGAGGTGAATTTGAGGTGGTTCTGAGTGAAAAATGACTTGTTTTTGTTGGAATTTTTTGTGTAAAGATGGTTATTAATTTGTATACCATATGTATTATAAGTTTGTGAAAATTCTGAGAGGAAGTTATTGAGTTAATCTGTTTTAGGTCATAACCATTGAACATCATCAAGGGTTTGGAGTACAGGAAGCACCAGAATTAAAGCCTCATGTTTGTTACCTGCAAGGCCACAACAGATCGAATACTGGTTATATTTTTGCTCTATGTATATACTACTGATCATAGATTTATGATGGTGGCATGTAGAGAGATGGAGACTGAATTATCATAGATTTATGATGGTAGCATGTAGAGAGATGGAGACTGAATTGGCTTTGATGGTCGTGTTTGGTTCATTATTATTATCCATATTCTGGATCTGATTTTTCAAATAATGTTTGGCACATTATTCCAGAAATATTAGCCTATTTTTTTTAATTACTTTTAGACCCCATAAGGTTATTAATTTCATTAAATACTCCTTGAAAAAAAAGTTTAAAAATTAGCAAAAACACCCTCGCGACCCATACTTGCCAGATTCCGGCAACCACCGTCGGTGGTAGCCAGAATCTATACAACGGTCTACCTGTCGACCAGAAATGGTCGGAAGTTCACCGATTTGGCCGTCAACGATAGCCAAATCTTGGCCATCGTTGACCGAAAACGACGGCCATATCTTTGGCCGTCGTTGAAGGTCAAAGATGGCCGTCGTTTTGGCCTTTTCCGGTCGTCGTGGCCACAGTAGGCTGTAGATCTGGCTTTCTCCGGCCAGATCCGTGGTGGATCTGGCCGGAAAAGGCCATAACGACGCGTTACGACACAGGTCTGACCGGTATGTGTTGTAACATGATTTTTTGGCCAGATTCTGGCGGTAGTGGCCAGAATATAGCACTGTAGGTGGTGGGGGTGTTTTTATCATCTTATATATTAAGGTGTTTAATTAAATTAGCAAACTTAAGGGTTTTTTCATAAATTTTTAAATTTTACCTCGTAATACTTTCCTATTCAACTACCCAATATTATTTCCAAAATTCTATCCAAAATAATAAATCAAACGCACCCGATATTTTTGAGTGAAAATTGTGACAATGACAATTAATTGGCTTTAATATTTTTTTAATGAGATTTGTGACAATGACAATGAAACCATTTTAAATCCATTTTGTGATTAAAATCTGCTTGTTTATTTACCCAGATTGAAGATATTTGTATTGCATTCCCAAATTTTTTTTTTTTTTTTTTTTGGGTTTTAATTCAAGGAATTGCATTGTGATTTTCAAATCTGCACTATTGCTAGGTTTTAATTGATAAAATTCATTATATAAATGTGAGTTTATTTTGCATCAAACACAGGGACAAAATGGTAATATTATTTGCTTCAAAATTTTAAAATCTCCAGGGTTATTGATCGATTGTTAGCATTAGAGACAAATTGGTAATTGACCTTTCCACATAGTTAGGGGTATTTAGTAATTACACAATTAAAAAGGGTATAGCGATAATTGGTTTCCTTGACATGACATATACTAATAAAAAAAAAAATTCCAATCAAACTGTTAAAAGGGCATTTCTATCTTTACAGTTAAAATCACTTTATTTAATAGAATTTACTAATGGAGCATAACGTTTGGGTGGTAATTTGAAATTTTTTGGATGCGAAAGTGTCATTAAGGCAAACCTTGGGTGGAAAATAATCGTTTACTCTCTTTATAAAACCACCTGCTCAACGAAACACCTTGAAACAACTGCAAACCCACAAGCAAAACATCAAATTAAAAAACAAAATCAGAACTTCAATAAACATAAAAGCTAGCATATAACAAAGCATTACTTGGTGGGGTCAAACCCAGCTCGAAAGCAAGCCTTAGTTCATTCCCCACTCGAGTAATGCTACAATTCATAACCTTTTCTTATGAACTTCATCTCACAATCCCATGTGACAGTTTTGCAATTGGTCAGTTCTATTAGTTCTCACCTATGCCTCATCTGATAAATTACATGTTGACTAATTACGAGTTGTCATAAAAAATTATGAAAGAAAGATTTTGAAAGAGATTGTGAGTGTAGTATACTGTTCCCACTCACAAGAACAGCTCCACAGCCCAACTTTTCAAATGCTCTAAAATCTTGTAATTATTGTTAGCCTTAATGGCATTACCAATAATTGAGTTCAGCAAGAAAGAGCTTCTTTATAAGCCTCAACATTTCTAGTGATTTTGTGGCTTATTGTACAAATAAAAGGCTTTTTTCAACATTTCCTTAACATCTTGAATTTTAACATCTTCCCAGTAGAGAAAGCTGTGAAACTGCTCAAATGGGTTCGTTTAAGTGAGGGTTTGTGTGGGTTCTTAGACAGTACTCGCCTAAAGAGTGAAGGTTTAGGGTTGTTCAAAGGTTGAACGAGGATTTGAGGGGTAGAATGGGGAATTTAGTAAATGATTTTTGGTTAAGGTTTTGGAAAGTGAAGGTGAGTGGAGAAAAAGCTGATGACGGCCATTGCTGAACAAGAGGAGTGATTCAAGTGAAGAGTGAAATGAAGAAGTATTCAAATGAAGAGATGGAAGAGAGAAAAATGGGTTAGGCCCAACAAAGAAGAAAAAAATTGGGGAAAACGTGTAAGAAAGTCAATTTAAGGGCTTGAAAACCTGGTAAGAATTCACCCGGTTTTACCCCACTAACCGATTGACCAACGGGTTGCTACAATGATCCTAACCAACGGTGGATCATCCAGGTGAATGCATATCCCCGATTTAGGCCAACCCATCCCAACTCAAGATGGCCGGTTCCTGATCAAACCGGTTAAACTTGCCGGTTTTTTAAACATTGGATTACTATAACCTAACGCTAAACCTGTTTTAAATCCCAGACCGGAGGACAACCTTCTACTGCCCAGGTCACGGTTCAACCGATCCAATCGGTTGGACCGGTGATGTCATCACAAACATGATAGTCAACAACTTTAAAAAAAACCTGTTTAAATCGATAATTTTGTGTAAAAAAAAACCTTTTTTATATTAATTAAATTTTTTTAGAATGGAGAATTACGATACAATTCAATTGATGCGGTACTCTACGTCTCGGGGGCAAATGTTAAATCGGGAGTTCTCAGTACAGACTAAGAGGTTATATTAATTACCTCGTTTCTTCTATCCTCAACTTTAGTTTTTCTTCATTTGTGCTTTTTACTAAACATGGAAAAAAAACCAAGACCTTGATTCTTTTTCGGTAACTTAGAAATCAGAAGTACTTTTATTTTCAGTCCAATTGTTTCATACCTGTTTTGTTTCTTGAACCAGATAATCTTGTGACGTTTGTGAATGCCGGAGGTGGGGCTATAAAGAAAAGAGATTCTAGCGTTGACTTGGACTTGGATTGCTATTTTGAAGGAGGGGAGGTTTTGAGAACAAATGAAAATATAATTGATGGTGGTGATATGCCATCCATTTATCAGTGTGCAAGATTTGGAAATTTCAGTTACCGGTTCAGAAACTTGTGTCCTGGAAACTATTTGGTCGATCTTCATTTTGCAGAAATTGTCAACACAAATGGTCCTAAAGGAATGAGGGTCTTTGATGCCTTTATGCAATAAAAAAAACAAAAAAAAAAACATTGGATTCTAAAATACATCTCACCACCACTAAATCAAAATCCCCAATTCCCTTTCAAATAACAAACCATAGCCACCGCCATTGTCTATCCTCTTCCACCACCACTCACAAGTTCACAACCCCATTGCCAATCTCAACCATCTTCTATCCTCTTCCTCTTCCACCACCACTCTCAGCCGAAATCCCCATTTCCCGCACAGCGAAATGTGAAGGAAGAGGATAAAACCACTCTCAACCGCCGCCGTCTCCTCCCTTCCCAATCAGTTGCACCACCGTCCTCTTCCTTCACAGCAAATGATGCCACTGTCCACTCCCTTTCACTGTGAGTGACGCTATCATTCTCTTCCCTCGCTGTGAGCAATGTCGTTGTCCTCTCCCCTTGCAGTGAATGACGTTGTCATGCTCTACCCTCACTATGAGCGACGCCACAACACTGCCGCTCTCTACCCCTTCTCACCTCAATTTCTGGTGAGGGAGGAAGACGTCGTCGATTTCCGACGAGGGAGTTCAGTTGCGATTTGGTGAATACTGAATGGTTGCGATTTCAGACTTAAGGAATGAAGTTGATTGCGATTTGAGTGGGATTTCAGAGAGATTTTCAAAGAGAAGTTGAGAAATCTGAGAAATTTTAGTAGA